ATAGCAGGCATTAAGATGTCAAGTAAGACCCTGCTTCCTGACTTCAAAGCTTTTATTTATGAACTGTGCTACTGGTATAATAATGTTTTCATTCTGTAACAATTCCATGATTTTTTTCTCTGCAGGTTTATTTTCAAATGCTGGGATCATATCCTTAGCTTTATTGAACAGTTTGGCACGCAACTCATTATATTTGTTGCATTCCAGCAGAAAATGCATATACAATGTATACTATACTATACGTATATCCCATAATACAATCGACAATGACGTCATTGAAAAGGTGCGCTCCTAACAAGAAATCTGTCCCTGTGTTGAATTAATTAGATACTAGTATTCTTTGTCATATAAATATTAATTCAAATTTTTTGATTAAAACGAGCATGAAAAATGAAATGCTTAACTACTCGCTAGTTTCACGTGGCGGCGTACTTTTCAAGAAGACAAGAAAGGACATACATCACTGGCGTCTCATGGGTGGTACCAGGTGTCCGGTCGGGAATGAGGTAGCGTTCACTGTTGACTCGAGACAATTGTCGTAATTGATCTGCACAACACGCCAGAAATAGAGGTCAGAGGTCAGTCGTGTTAGATGATATAATGAGTCATAGCTGGGAAAACTGTCTCGCATTATTTGGATCACGTGACAGGTGGTCACAATTAATATTTGGTTATCTCGTGTTTTAAGTCATTTTATTTATCTTGCTTCGATGCTACAGAACTATCGCGTATGTTACGAACATAACCGATATATCATACATTTTCTATAATATTAGATTAAGTGCAAAGTTACTTGATTAATAACGATAATTAATAACTTCTTTTACAATTAAATATTAGCTAATCCATTAAGTTTAGTTTGAATTAACACAACCAGATTTGAGTTCAATGTATCCGTAAATCGATTGCAGTGCCATAACGGATCTCCAGATATCTATAATAGATGGTATCTTATGGATGTTGATGCATACCACCGTTTGCCATTCTTGTAAAAAGAATGCGAGCTTGAGTATGGTCAGTGGCAATCGCTGTGATCTAACTAGTAGGGAGATATTGTAGGTTTGCCAAGGCTTTTTATACCGCGCTCGAACCGAATTTCCCGATATTGGCCATAATTCATTGAGGAGTTGATCGTGAGAACGACGCTAAAATATCGGTGGCTCGACCCGGACGTTTAATTCAGAGATCCGTGACTTTGTGTCTTTAACATGCAATCGATGATGTGGGCTAGTTATCCACGACTCATTTGGAGCCACAACCTCTTATGCAAATATACTTATACACGGAGTTTTAAGCGCCTTTCGTGTATTTCAAATTGACTCCGGGTTAACGACTCGGACGGAACCCGCTTTGTGACCCGGATCCGTGAGAACGGAGATGTCGGCTTAGAGTACGACCCAGTTGTACTGCAGGAAGTTGTAACAACTTGAAGCGTACATATTTTACTATGGGGTTTGTCGTTTATCTAAACTAAGCTAAATTTGCCAGATTTGCCATGAAAAAAGCAGTATAATTTAAAGTGACAAATGCTATCTTTTATAAGGAAGCTGACCTTTTTTTCGGGCCAAATAATTAATTCCCGACTTTTTCTCTCAATTAGTTCCGACATCGTTTGCTTATTTTGGGGATTACAAATAGTGTATTGTGGTACTCAGCCTAGCATACAAGAACAAAATCACCTTAAAGCAGGATATAATCGTCCAATTGTGTGTGTAAATATGTGTAATGCTATAAAGTATATGTACTATTAGTAATATGAAAGAAATTACGTTTGGTGACTTTTGTCGAAGTACATCAAGCAATATGCAGCCAAAATTGCAGTCAGTCGTGCACCAAAACCGTCCTCCGAATACTATCAAGCCATTGCATGACAGGTAAATGTTTAATTTGAAATTCCGCAAAATCCTGAAATAAAAATATTTTTCTTTTTGCTCATATGAGACAGTAACGACCATGTGTATTATATGAACTCACTTCCAATGAGGCTTAAAATTGCCCACGTAATCAGATCAGAGGCGGCGACACGAAATTCTGCATGGGGAAGCGAGATCTGCTCATCAACCTTGCGCCGACGGAAGACGCGACCTTACATGAAATCTATACCCTCTGAAACGCCATTTCCTGTATTTTGAGGGGCAAATTTTGCTGACACAAAGGGTTTCAGCTTGAATTTGGAGGGGGCAACATTTTTTCGAGGGGTGGACCGCTCCTTCTGCCCCGATTCCGCCACCACTGCAGATGTAATATTACACGCACCAGGTACATAACGGATATTGCGAGTTTTATTCACGTAGACTGGCCACTCAACATAGCAATGAAAAAAAGTGTATTTTCTGGCTCGCTTCGAAGGACGCACTCTGTCGACACCGTTCTTTGTTCCTTTCATCCGTGCACGTAATACTCACGCCATCTTAGCCGTGACGGGGTATCCGATTTCCGGGAGGTGAATGAACTCTCTCTAACTGTTCTACCGGAAACCTGACGAACACTGGTGTGCTTTACCTGCTTTATTCTACTTAGCAAAGCCATCTAATTACCGGAGCTGCTGTTCAAATGTTACAATTCGTTGTACAACTATTACTGTGTTTAATAAAAAAAGATGTTCTGACGGTACTCAAAGTCTTCTAGTATCAGGTGCATTGGTGCATAACTGAAATCTCATCCTAAAAAAATGAACTACATTATTTTCTCTTGGGACATCTACAATATTTCAAATTTTTAATATCATGTATAATTTATTAATCAATCATAACGCATTAGTGTAATATTCCTAATTACCGGTATGTCACCACGCTTGCTCTATCTAACAGTATATAAATATTTTAACTTGAATAAAAATCAACTTTTGATCAGACTTGTTTTGAGAAGTGTGTTGTTGCTATACCCTGTAATATGACCGTGCGAACTTTCGCATAATGTGGCAGGCAAGAAAGGGTGTGGTTAGAAATGTCAATATTTTGTGAATTAAACCAAGTGTTATATAACACAAAAATCGAGACACGCATCGTCACTCTTCACGCTCACAAATCGACTTGCACGTTCCTGAGTTTCCACACACCATCAATATTGTGACTCACCCTGAGACCTTGTAAGATCCATACAACAACCTTGGTCGGTGTACACTTGGATATAATTGTTCGTTAAACACATCCTACTTGACAATCTCCTTGTATGATGAATCACTACATCGCGAGATGTGTGCATCTGTCTCTATTTCTGATTGTCTATCTATGTGACATTGCAGAATGCTGTTTAACACTATGTGAGCAACGCTGCCCCCCCCCCCCCGTAATTTGCAGGAAACATTCCTACCTGCGCATGCGCCCAGCGTTGTCCTACCTTAAAATGAACACACACAAATATCCACCCGCACTGGCCATGAGCGAATTTGGGATGTGGGTGTTTCGCAGAATAAATAAAAGACCAAGGGAACTGGTCTAGATTCATGAATAACCGGCCATGACTTCGTGGGAACCTCGGCCAAGCCGCGCACTGGTAAGGAAAGTTTGGTCGGGCTTGGTTTGGTGACAACTGCCTGTCGCATTTAATCGGCACACTACTTTAGATTGACTGGTTCCCGACTCAATTGTCATGGCATATATACCAAGCCATAAGATGCCGGTAACTAGTAACGAATTCGGCATTCTGATTGGTCCATCACTTTTTTGTTGCTTGTTCTATTTCCCTTGGTTACCTGACGGCAGCGTTTACGCCCGTGGCTGTTCAGGGGTTTCCTTTTACTTTCCAAAGTTGGGTGAATAAAAAACTGTTTCTTTTGCATAGAAACAGCAAAAAATGCCAGAAACATCTCAAATATGTAAGTATAAGCATGCACGAGCGGAACTTTGAATGTTTTCAAATTACGTCGGAATCCCGGCCCAATGGAACGACTTACTAGTTACCTGCATCCTACTTGCCATTCGCAAGGGACGCCGAGAACCAGCGATTACTTTTAAAAAGTGGACACATAGTCCCAATTATGAAATGTACATATCGTTAATTCTGTCAGATCCACAAACAAGAAGAATAGTCCCACCATACTCCTAACCATTGTTGCCACATCCCCGTCGTAGAGGGCTTGGTTATATACAATATGACGTTTATAGTATGCCTGCTTCAGATTTCGTAACCGAGCAGTTTCTTTTCGGGTGTTCATCATTTTCATTCCCACTGGACACCCTACTGACTGTTGGATTTCCATTTTTGCGGCTAGTTCTTTTACTGCACACTGGACATATATATCACCTAGCAATACAGACTCGGAACAAATCGGCACTATCGATATTACCAAGTAATAAAAATGTCGACTAAATATCAGTATCAATATTACCCAGCATTCTACATCTTTATTATGCAGCAACTAAATACCTATATAAATATTATTTATAAATATTATATATAAAATAATATTTTTACCCAGCAGTGCATTTTATAAACTAAATATCAATATCCACTAATGCGCTTTTATTATCAAATGACAGTGACTGACAGAAAAAAGGTCAGAGACGCGTGTTGAATGAAAGAATAATGCACTTGTACGTGGCGTGCGATGCGTTCGTCGCATGGGACCCTACATGGGACACATAGAAACATGATGTGACACGACGACTGCCCTTTAAACACTACGTAGTTAATCGTGTGCGGCACATGTGCCTGGCTGGCACCATGGTCGCCATTATCTACAACTGAATGTAAGCACACGTGTTCCGCTGAGCGACGTAATACTTATTGCAATGTACATAACCAGTTCAACCTAAAGTGTCACGTGTTACCAGATGGCATACCATTGAGTATTCAATTAGAATTCTTATATATAGCACCCGATTAAAACAATCACGTATTCTAATATTGCATTACACTGTGCAGTCTATGTCACGCGTCGTTTGATGTTTAGAAAAAAAAAAATCTCCCCTTTCCGATAATGGTTTGTCCCAATAGATATTGACTCAAGAATAACTGTATTAATCATGCTTCAATTGCACGGCGTGCTTAGTCTGGCCTGGAAACAAGAAGACTCGACATCCTAGACGACAGAAACCAAGACGATATCCTAACACCATGTCTAACGCCAATATCAAGTCGGCTCTCGGGGAGCAGATGAAGAAATTCACAGAATATTACGACTCTGGCGATTTCGAGAATTTAAAAGAATTGTTCACTGAAGATTGCAAAATGATGGCACCGGGTAAAGAGGTACAATATGGTAGAGAAGGTGAGTTGTCTCCATCTATTTTTAAATTTCGCTCCAAATAAAGCAGTGTCCTTGTTAGATTTCGGAATAAATTGGATGTGTGGGTGAATCACAGTTAAATTTTCCCGGGAATTGATTTCTCTTTAAATCCCCGAAGTCTAAAGCGGCCAGCGCAAATAACGAGTTTAAAGACGTATACTGCACACTGCACACATCACTGCACATTGCCAATCACGTTTCCGTCTAGAAAAGCCAATATGAAACAGTGTGCACGTTGCCATCTGTTATTGTAAGTTCCAGACACCAATATACAGACCCATTCAACCGTCCATTCTATACTGATATTTGTTTTCAGTTTTCAAACCATCACATATTACGGGTGTTAAAAAAACGCACATATGACAATGCTTCAAAATAAAACTCGTGGTTATAAAATAAACGCCAGACGCCCCAAGCGCAGTTCTGTATATTTTTTACTGTGGCATAATATTGATATCGATATACCAGTGTGAACGTGACGCGTGAGAGTGGTGGTAATCTGTATCCAAAGCAGCACCGGACACTCTTTGTTCTTGCAATAGGAAGTCCTACTGTGTCCTAGACAGATAGAATCGCTAATCAGCAGGCCTGGTATGCCTACATATGCCACCATGACAGTGCGTCTAAACCAATGTCAAATCGAAAAATAAAAAAACAAACAAAAAAAACAGTCCGAATCATAATGATTACGTACATAAAAAAAACACCTTAGGAACCCCACTTGGACTGGGCTCTACTTGAATCTAATTTGCCTTGTGGCGTTTGATTAAAAGAAGAGGGAGCCTCGTCTGTCATTCATCGGTTTTGCTTAGCAATGACTGATGAATAATTCGTGATGCTATGCGTGTTCACAATCATCATCGATCACGCTAATGTAACGCTAATGGACGTAGCTAGGATGTCAGCGTATTGGGTTGTGTACGTACTGACTCATCTGCTGTGTAATCTTCTGAAGAGCACGTTGCAATTAACTTTTCCTGAACTGCAAATCTGTCGTGAGAATACACAACTTTGAGTGTTATTCTCCAAGGTATCACTACGGCATGTGCGCGTATATCGATTACAAGCCACGCGTTCGTTGAAAGGTCGTCGAACTCGTAATCAACTTTTATACTAAAATTACCGGCGTTTGGTAACACGGTTGTATTCCTGTTATGTCATTCTACACTCGCCGTGGCTGGGATACGTCGCTCTTTATGCGCCCACCCATTGGCACTACTTGAGATTGCATACGTGCTTTAGCGAACAAGGATCATTCGCGACGTTGAGTGGTCCCGACCGATATCTGAAATTCCGTAATAGATATTGCAATATACATCGCGGTTACTAGTACGATGTTCCGTTTCCTAGAACGTGTTTGCTTTATTTACCTATAACTGACTGAAACATCTGGATATTCCATCGATTCATAAAATGATAACTAAGAACATAGAAACTAGGATCTCGTGCACGTATCAACTATCGGGGTTGTTACGGAATTGCTATTTTACTAGCGGTTCGCCACATTATTCCTAGAAGCTGCAGATTTCTGAAACTGCAGTAGGACGTCGTACGCTTCACTGAATTGTTGATGGACACATTCCCGGCGCCGGTATGCTAATATGTTCATCCGCCGGCGTAGCTGCCTGAGAGGCGTATCTAATGTCACCGAATCGAATATATTTGCCTCTGAAATTATTTTACTCAGTGATTTATCAATAAACAGCGAAGGACTCTTCCAAATTGTAACTATGAAACTTCTTTTCATGTGACGTAGTGCTCAGTGGTTTATGCTCAGATAACAAAACGAACGGGTATTTTTTTTTCAGATACCATAGCTGTACTGCAGGGAATGAAGTCCGATGGTGTAGAAACAATGACATTCGAATTTGAAGAAGTTGGCAACATTAGCGGCGATGAATTCGTGTTTGATCGCAGTAAATACACCATGTTCAAATCGGACGGCTCGGTCATTGTAGTCGGCAAGTATTTAGCCATCTGGAAGAAGGTAGCGGACAAATACTGCTTGTACACTCCGTGTTTTAACATGAACGTGAAATAAGAGGTGTGTTCGTGGAATCGCGACGCTTATATTGTCATCGAGGCGGCGGCGTCTACACCTCCCGGTGCCGTCGAACGATATGTCCGGCACCTGTTTAAGATTGAGTAGAATCATGGCATAGTACTATTATATGTGTATGCATTGCTTTTTAGCTGAAACGTGTCATTATCGTGAATGAGGGGAACGTAATGAAATAAAAATTCTGCTGCTATTTGACAGATCGTTTATATTTGTTAAATGCTTCGTCTATAAAGGTAAACACTCCCGGGAGTATTTACCTGAAAAATGGCATGGACATGCCGCTAGCATATTTCAGGCAGCCAAAATTAGATAAACGACAATTTTCTTTAACATGTACACCCGTTCTCAGACTAAAGGTTCTTTTTTCACATTAGTGATGAACTACATTTTTTATACCGTAATTAACGAATTTTATGTCTTGAATGGAGCTTTTTTTTTATAATTTCAAAGATGACACACTTGCTGGAGAGGACTCCGGGCCAAAGTGGGCTAACTTTTAGGCAAAACAAACATGCACTTATAATATAAACTTATAGGGAATGAATTACACCAAGAAATAATACTCGAAGAAATATAAAGGGCAAATTATCTACAGATCTTGAACCAGGATAATACTACTATTAATACTAATACTATACCATTCACCATGGCATGCCACAATACCATATGACTTATTATTTGGAAATAAATTTTGACTCGATTATATTTTCTGGATACTATCACCTAACTACATACGCTAAAACATTGCATCATAATATATATATATATATACAGTAAGGTAATGTAGTGTGGTGTATGTTGTGTGCAGTGGTGTTGTGTGGCGTGACGTGGTGTGGCGTGGCGCGGTGTGGCGTAAGCGTTGTGTGGTATGGCGTGGCGCGGTGTATTGTGGCGTGGCATACCACGGTGGCGTTGTGTGGTGTGACGTGACGTGGCCTGGTGTGGTGTGGTGTGGCGTGGTGTTGTGTTGTGTTGTGTGGCGCGGCTCAGCGTGGCGTGGCGGCGTATGCACATTAAAAACGTGTGCAGCTACGTGTCGAAACTGCATATCGTAATACAGACATGAATCCTTTTCTGCATGCATCTGCACAGGAAGCATGTTTTTCTTGGGTTTATCTTGGGTTATCGTCGTTTTTCAAAATAAGTGGCGTTTTTAGCGTTTAAAGTGTCACGATGCGAAATATACACGTGGTATGTAAATTGCAATGTGAAATGCAAACACGCGCCACAAGAATACGAGGTGATTGTACATTACGTACACGCGATGATCCACGATGATCTACTGAATGATTATACACGACTCCATGTGACAAAAGGACTTATCAACTGCAATAGCAGGGCTGATATATTCGCAACTTTTTTACGAGGGGATAAATAATCGAAAGTACGCACCCGCATTTACATATCAAATCGCATACATCAAAGCGCATAATTTGCATATTTGCACGTGACTAATGATGAGCAGGCAATAATATCATCGAAATAAAGCTCAGTTATATTTAGTTTTTAATGTGTGTGTTCTAGTTACTAGGACGCGCCGAATGCGCTTTTTCAAACACGTCATATTTGGTCTGATAAAACTGAATTAATGTATAAAAAAAAGATACATAATTTGCAGATACATTATTCAGCTGGATTTTAATTGTCACGTCAGGAAATAAATTGAATTTCCGATTATTACTCGCACATATTGTCATAATGAATTTTCAAAAATGGCCTCATTATATTAGTATATTGGTTACACACAGATGTATGGACTCGCTTTTGCTGTTACACGTCGGTTTAGACTTTTTTTTTTAGAAATGTTTTTGTTTGTTTTGTTTTTTACTGTAAATCTCAGTGTTACTGAACTCCTTCGATCGACATGAAGGTTGCGCAATAAACCTCCGAAACAATGTTATTGAAACAGACAACTCTGTTTCGTTGTGTTGTTATTGTCATTTTGAATATACAAACACAGATCAAAACTTTACCTACACCCATTGACGTCACAATGATTTTGTCACCAGAGGGCGCGGCCTATATAAATATTTTATTGTCCAAATGCATTGTATTGACCCCCATCGCTAATGACTCCTTGTTTCTATTTCTGTATGTTAACGACTCGTGTAATTTGACACTGCAGTGACCCATAACAATTACTGGCATTCTCCGACGCTCTTGGAGGGTAGTATAAAGGCAACGCGTACTGTTTGTTAGTTTAGCCGCAGTTTGGCATGCTAAACTTTTTCAGCTATCCGTTCAGAAAGGCCGTCATCACGTGACAACAAGACAGCCATAGTGTGTGTTCGAAATACGTGGAATATCGGGTATTATTTTAATTAAATAGTTTTCCCTCCGGTCATTTTTCTCCATTTTTGCGTTGATTCTTCAGATACGAGAACAGCTATCAACAATAAGAACACGCACTGACTCGGAACACGCACCACAGTGTTGATTCTCAGTAGACCTCGTACAGAATTGAGGTCGCCGCTAACCATATTAGACCAATTACCTTATCAAGTTGCGTTTAATGACCCCCTCCCTATCGAGCCTATATGTTAACCAATTCGAGTGCGAATTGAATTTGACAGAGACATGTAACACGGTGTGTTGTCATTGGTTGCTCTTTCCGTGGGGTCTCAACGCTTCGGTGGGCTACAGCACAAATACTAGTTTCCCTTTTAGTTTTGAGCTAGTGCATTTTATTTCACAATGATCGATGTTACTGTAATCGTTCTTTTTTCTTTCAACATATGTGTATGTGTGGATTTTTTTAAAAATTTCTTTATTTATTTTCTTACAATTTTCTCTTTTCAGAATATTTGTTTTCACATCTCCCCATCGTCCCCAAGACTTTCTAATGGCCAACCCCTAATTAAGTAGTTAGAAGTACAAGTTAGAGGCGAAGTACGCCCACAGCGGCTGGAATTAACGGCAATGATACAATGTTACCCACCAGAGTCTACCACCGGTTCAATTGTAAAGATAATACTCATTATGAACAGCAACATTTTATGAAATATGCAGTCAATTCTCAGTCTTTTGAATACAAATGTGTGAGTCATTAGACGCATTGCATCACGGGAAAGGGTCGACATATTAAACAATTGCATAACACATGCAGAACTAATATCAATTTGTTAGAGGTTGTCCAAAATATGTTGAAACATTTGAGTAAGTGCAAATGTTAATTTTATTCCTCAGCTCCTGAGAGCGAGGTTAATTGTAGATATGTTGGCGATCGCCGCTGTGTCTGCGGAAGTACTATGGGAGATTGCATGATGGAAGTGAAAAGTATTTTGATCAGTAAAATAATTTTAGAAAAGTGAAAACTAAAGTGACTGTGAAATAAAGGTTGGTTTTAAATATTAAATATCATGACATTTGGATGTAATAATGAAAGGAAATTGAACTGGTATGAAAGGGCAGTAAATGTAGCCGGAACGCAAGGTCAGAATCCGGGGTGAAAATACGTCACAATACATCCATCAAGGCGGCTGCAAAGTGTCAACAACCATGGATGAGGTAAAAGACTTTGTTTGCAGTTTGCGTGAATGGCCAGGGAGAAAAATTCTTGCAAATTCTGTGCTTCAGTAACAGTATTTGCTTCTTCTTTTTTTTTGTGCAATGGAAATTAATACAAGAAATGCTGCCAATAAACATGTCCTTCTAGTACACAAAACAACCCTGGGACGTTTATCTTGTGAAATTGGGAAGACGAACATCCCCTGGGACAGTCGTTGTTAAACAATAGACATGCTTCGCCAGGGTATCATGTTTATTTTGATTATTTGAAGATGGAAACTGCTGTTTTATGGAAGAGCAAAGTTCAATGTCATTGGCACAGTAATGACGTTTTTAGAGGGGTGACGAGTATTCGCCGTGACTCCAGACTTCTCATTTGGGTTCTGTCACCAAACTGTACGTTTTGACGACTCGTATGCACTTCTGGGACTTGTAATAATTTTCTGGAAACTACATACTTTTTTAGCAAATCACATATTTTCCTTATTAACTGTTCATAGTTTTTATTTTCAGTTTTATTGTTCATAATTATTTACAGTAATAACATATTTTTCCGATTGTGTGCATGACAGCTTTGCCCACACACAATAAGACAGGATGATATGTCCGGATATGTGTGAGTATGTTTCATGGATTAATACTTAGGTGACTCCTTTGCTTCAATTCCAACTACATCTCTGGAATATCACTTGCTGTTTATCATCCATATTTTGATATCTCACAATGTGTCGATTGCGTATCTGGAAATTCTAACTACTATTTTGCAGAATTTGACCAGCCTTGCTTTTACCAGTCATTTAAGCAACTCCCATATTGTCCTTCACAGTGAAGGGTAATGCAGATATATTGTAAATTACACAGAGGTAACACTACAGTACATTTCCCTTCACATTCCCTTGTATTACATAACAATCTTTGAGCTGAGGCAGTTCTACAACCATCACCAGTTCTCTTGTTATATCTTAAATATACTGCCACTTGATATAGCTTTCTAAAAACGTGAGGCAAAGATCGGCTCACCGTAGTATTAAAGCGGGAGGATCGTCACCTGCGCACGCGCGGGAATTGAGTCCCAAGCGACGATAACAACACACGCTAAAAACGCAAAAGCTCATGGGTAGACGCTTGTTTGTGAACAATGACACGTTATGGCCATCTGCTGACGCATGCGCAGGTGACGACTCCCCAGCTTTAAGACATAAATAAGACATAATATATAACTTGGTGATTACATTTTCTTTACCATTCTGCGCAAAACATCGTTCACTGTGCGTGTTTGTACTGTAGAACACAAAATGTGTCGACACCGGAAGCTCGAGAATTAAGTTAGAAGGATAATTACAGTTATTACAAAAGTAATAAAATAATACGTGATCTTGTAGTAGACGTGCCATTTGTTGAGTGAGTCACGTGGGACAAACGGGTTAAGTTGTATGTTCGATATATGACCCTGCTTCATTTTTTTTACATATCAACACAATCCCATGTCACATATATTTAATTTTGCTTACGTAATGCAACGTAGAATTTCCATGGTTACTGTCCTATCCGAGAAAAAGACGAATTTAAACTTTTTTTGCAGCAGACCATACTTAAACAGTTATCGCCGTAGGGGGCGCACCAGTACAAACTGTGGCGATTGGACGATTGAGACACGGAAACGACAATCATTAAAAATGTAAGAGTGGTTACCATGA